TGTGAAAAAAGAGAAGCATGGCTGCAAGTGGGAGTGCAACTGCCGCTGCCCCTCGGCTTGTTGACAAAAAAGACGCCAGAAGCGAAATTTGGAAGTATTTGAGCTATATCTCTGACAGTGAGGGCAAGCCTACGGACACCACGAGGCCTGTCTGTGAGACATGTTTTAGATCCCTGCAAACCAAGGGAGCCAACACATCAGACTTGGCTAAGCACCCGCCGACCGGCATCCAGAGCTGTTTAAAGAATTTAAAGACAGACAGGTTAGCGAATGTGATAGATAACATAATTACATCATGCTCAAGCCCATGCCCTCACATCTAAGTCAAACAAGTGTAATTTATTTTGTGACAAACGAACGTTTTCGTAGTTTGACGAGGCAATTATTTGGCAATGATAACTGTCTAATATGGCTATCTTTTTAGCTAACTTACCAATGTGGCTAACATCTGCAATATACATTTTGTCAATAATTATTTATATTACTGTACTATTACATGTTAATAAAATAAAAAAAATTATATTTTATAAAACAAAAAAGTTGTTTGACATGATGCTTAATTTTATTTAATACGAATTATTGTCATTTATTTTGTTTATTGTTCTCATTGTTTAAAAGTTTGTGTTATGGTTATGGTGTGAAATAAAGCACAATAATTACATTTAAGACTGTTTCCCTTTTTTTAAGAAAAGTATCGAAAAAGAATCGGAATCGCAATTCTTGACTTGGTATCGGTATCGAAACCAAAATGTTGGTATCGTGACAACACTACAGTATATATATATTTCTTTAAAAAAGTCAAAGAGGAATTTAGGAAGAACAATTTAAGCTCAACAGGTAGAAAACAAAGAAAACCATATCATAATATTAATCTAAGATAGTTAAAGAGATAACATTAAGCATTACATCATAAATATCGTTTTTCTAATTCAGAAAATCTGCTTTTGTGTTGGACTTTTTCTCAGAGATAAAGCAGACCTACAATGATGTTCTTTGACAAAAATAATAGCAGACACCACTTAGGAAACCACAACAGCCTCCTCACCATCTAAAGTAAGGCTCCCATACTTGGAAAATAAAGTCTGAAATATGCGTTTAAATCTAATTAACTAAAGGTTGTCTATTTCTCAACAGCTGCTGACAGTCAAACTCGACCACCAACATTGTGTTATTCTCTATTTAGGAACAGCCACAAACTATATGTTGGAGCACACAGGGTGGAGAGATGGACAGAAAGTTAAAAAAAAAACATTTTTGCATGGGAATCTCTGGGAAGAGAAATTACAGCCCTTTATTCCTGTGTGTGTATCTGACCTCTGTATTGTACGTACAATCAGAGACTTCTCCACAGCTTAATGACAACACGTCTGACCACTAAGTCTTCAGCACCACTTTACTGGAAGGCCGGTGTATGATCAGCACTTCAAACTACAGTTTAAAGCGAATATACGTAAGATTTGAATACAAAAATACAACCATTTCAAGTTTAAAGTATAAACATATTTATCTTAATGATCTTTTTTTGTAACAAATTAGATATTTTGCAACTTTACTGTCTTCAGAATTACCATAGTTTAATTTGAAATTAAATGAATAGCTAGCAGACAATGTTACTTTTCCTTTAAGTCTTCATTTTAAATCATGTTTATGTCTACAATTCTGATTGATTTTAACAAATGGTTTGTACTTTCTATTAAAGTACTTTCTTGTAATTCTGTTTCTCCATACTGTAATTATACTCCTACACCTGTGGCATGTCTGCATGTTTTAAGGCCCTCCGGAGACAAACTTGAGATTTTACACATAGATAAAACTGACTTCACTTTGCCAGCTGTCATGTTTTTTTTCCTAGATAGATTCTTCGATTTCTAATCTAAGAAGCAGTTGTTCACACTGCCTAATGTTGATCTACGACTGCCTGCATACAAAACATCCCCTCCTAGTCCCACACTGTGAATACCCCCTCAATCCAACCAACAAGAAAAGATGACACAAAGCATAAAAACTGTGTTGCTGAGATGTGTTTTTTATCATCGTGCTGACACTGTTAACTACAACCCACAATGTCTTTTGATCAAACTTGAAAACAGCCTTGCATGTGTAAAACAAGCGTGGAGACAAACCATGCTGACAGAGCGAGAGCTGAAGCCCAACTAATTATCTGCTGAATAGCTGCTTTACCAGGCGTTTGTTACACCAGAGAATGAAGTGAAAAACTTGGACTGGTCCCCCCCTCTCTTATAAGTTGGTGCCTCCTTTCACTCTTTAGAGCAGAGGAATTCCAAGAGCTTGCTGAGGCGCAAACTATTGGGAATGTGCCACTCTGACCCTCTTGGAGGAAAAACCGTGATTAGGCGTTTTGTCTGCGCTCTCTAACCAGACTGAACCATCCTGCGGGAGGGGTGTGACACAGTAGAGAGATGCCTTTAGAGGGCTTGTAATGTACCCTGTGATGGAGAGGGAGAGAGGGGAGGCCTTGATGAGATGATCCACACCGAACAAGTGATCTCCGTGCTTTGATGTCACCAAGGCTCTACGTGCATGGCTTTGCCCTGCGGTAAAACAGTCCAAGTAATCACAGATTAATAGAGCAGGCTAATCTCATTCACAAAGAGGTCACTACGAGCAGACAGTCGCCCCTCCCCCAGCTCTTCCCGAGCATTGAGAGCCGCCTGCAAAAAGGCAAAGGACTACAACTGAGCACATCTATTAAAGACTACAGATTCCATTAAAACACATTGTTTGATGAGTCAACATCTAAACTGCTCACTTCAATAAGCGGTTATAATGAAGTTTTCCTCAGGCGAGTGAATACCGCTGTTGTCATCAGGATTATCAGTCTATTTTTGCCTTTCCAAGCTTTTTCTTACAATTAAATTAATGATATCATGTCTCTAAAGTGTTGGTCAAAACTATTTGTCAAAGCTACAACCTGTTTCCGCTGTAAGTGGACTGTGAGCATTGATTTTCTACAGCTGAAATCAGCTCTGCCCTCCCTACAGCCCAATTTCCCCTGCAATTTTCTCCCATGCTCAAGAGAGGAATTTCGATGACATAACAGAAATATAATAGCTCCGCCACGTCAGAGCCAAGTCAAGTTAGGCCTGGTTAAAATGGGACACCAAATCTGATTTACTTATTAGCGCTCAGCCCTCTGTCCTCTGTGGCAGCCCCTCTTGTAATTACCAGAGATCTTGCCCCCTCCCCACCCATTATGGACATAGATTTTCAGAGCAGATTACAAGATGCACAATATGACTGGGCAGGCCTTTGGTTATGAGAATAAAGAGTTGGCTTCAAATGCACCTTTTTCACTTTTTTAAAGCTTTTTCCTTTGGATAAAAGTCCCAGGCTTTGCGCTATTCAAGTACCTTTGTTAGTAGAGATAAAGAACCAACATAAGGTGGAACTGTTTCAAGCTGGCTGTATCCAGAACAATACAAAAGACTGTTATGCAACAAATGGCAGACTAAGCGTATTGATGACTGAGCTGAGAATTTGAATTAAAAAAAACTTGGATCACATCCAGTAAAAACTGTCAGATTTGGCTACATTAATTATTAGGCTACTCAATGAACATCATTAATGGGATGCTGGATTCACTTTTACAGCCTCTCAGATGTGTTCCTTGGTGAACGGCAGACACTAACTCTTCTGTCTCTGGTGTTGGATGGCTGACCTGCCGCCGCCATCCCCGTCATGTGACTCCCTCCCTTCCCCCGTCACTGGGCAACGGCCCCGCAGGATGCTGCGAAGTGGGTCCTGCCCCTGGGGCCCGGTGGGAGTGTTGTTTAAGAGCCGTCTCCCTGGGCTGCCGGAGAGGGCTTTCTCTCCGCCTTAACAACCTCCTCGACCGGGGCCTCCACTCTAAAGAGCTTCTGGAGAATGTCTCCTCAGAGTCTTTTCATTGACTCTCTTCTTACAGGCCTCTAAAAATATTCATGCATATACAGGTACATAATTGTCCATGAAATGCACTATGGGATACTGCCTAGACTGGAGTACTTGCCGGTTTTCCAAATGACTACTGTAGCAGGAAATTATTCAGACAGAGAATCAATTGGCAATCTTATCCAAGCCCATAAAGTAGGGCCTGAGATTTGATTTAGCATTAAGTAGAATTAGAACATTTGGCATTGTAAGTTAATTGCAAGCAAAGAATGATTCCCATCTCGAGGCCGACATAGGAGTGGCATTGCAGGATTTTAAGCTTCGTATTACCACTTGTGAAAGATGGACGCCGTAAATCAGAAAAGGCAAATGCAAGTGAAAATTCAAACAATATGTGGCTCTGACTTTCATGTCCTACTCCACTTAGGGCGGCTCAGCGCAGAGGCCGAACACACTGAGGCAACTGCACAACCTCGCTTTCCTCATAACCTAAGACAGGTGGAAACCACAAATCAAAAACTGTAAAGGAGAACAAAATATTCCGGTTATCTTCCAAGCTGCTGACAGCCGATACATCTTCATCCCCTTCGTACTTCAGCATGCTTTTTTCGCCAGCTTGATAACATTTAGCAGTATACATCTGTCCCAATAATCCATCACTGTACCGAGATGATGGTGCTGTGTGAAAACAGGAACTCATGGTCACTGATAAAGTAGTTTTGTTGCCTGTGACAAATTGAGTATTCTGCTGTACGCACTTTGTCTTAAAACTCAAGAGAAAAAAACAAATCGAGCTGTAGTTTATGATGGGAACAAGTATGGAGGTGAGATCGGACATGAAGAAGTCAAAGTTTATAGATATAAGAGGGCAATAAAACAATAAAAGGTATCATGTAGAGCGCTGGAAAATAATCTATGATCATGAGACCATTTAGAAGGCTGTCTAACAGTACAGTGCTTTTCTGGAGTGTCAGGATCCTAAAGTAGTGGAGGTGGGTGGGTAGTGGTACTATGAAATTCTGCCAAGAATGCAGGCAGGAACTTTGGGCTCAAAAAGGCCAGCATGGCCAGATGGCCTGAGAAGGCAGTTGAGAAAACTCTGTTCGTACCTGCTGATTTTGGAGTGAACTTGTCCCTGTTGGCAGCGCACACGGCCAGGAGCCGGTAGCCCAGGTCCAAGTCGTAGCCTTGCTGCGCTGCTACCCGGCTGACCACCTGAACACAAACACAGCATGCAGTCAGGACAAAGTCATATATTACATTCTATTATGAGGTGAGGTTCGTTTGTATCCTTCTATACTATTCCTAGAAAGAAGAATCATAATTCAACCTTCAGATAAAAATCAGAGACTTGTAGAAAGAGCTGAAAACACCATTATTTTTCAAAGAGTAAACAATCCTTTAAACTTGGTATTCGATATTCAGAACCAACATTTTTTAACATAACGTCTGCATTTAAATACACAATGACAGACCATCATGGAATAATTGTGCCTGACATATTAACTTGAATGCAAGTTATATTTTAGAATATTAGGGAACTACCAGATCCGAACCCACAGCTTCCTTTAATCTTAATGGCTGAATTGTCTTTTTACCTAATTTGATTGAAATTGGTATTAAATCCAGATTTCATAGATACACCATAGAATCTATAGATGACTTAAAAGACATTTCAAAACACCATGATAGTAGTAAAACTCATCAAAGGACTCAACATTTTGTCCTGACACCCTAAATGTTATATAAGAGTGAAGTTCGGCAGCATCAAAGATCCCGTTCCACCCATAAGATAAAGTCACTGCAAGTTTATCATTTCCATATGAGTTGGTGGACGACATGTGGCCTCTGGTGCCGCGATGCCCACTGTGAGGAAACATTAAGAGAAACATCACATGCCACAAGAGGTGATGTAAATTACCCTTATGTGGCACATGTTGCTTTGATTTACCATTGCCATTATCAGCTCAAAGAGACCCGCTCAAGACGTTTAAACCTTTAAGACATACTGAGGCCTGTGTGGACCAACATGCCTCACTACAGACGGATTCTTCTGCCTGCCTGGTTTTCATAGCCACGATCCCAAGTTCAAGACAAGCCCCGAGGTAGCACAGCTGAACATTGCTCCCTGCACCATATCATTATCTCCTGTAAGTATAGTCCTGACGCGACACCAAAACAGAGTATGTATATCTGGCCTATCTGTCTAATTAGAATCTAAAGTTGCGAGGGACATTTTGCTAAATGGTAATTCTAGTGTAAGAAGTTACAATAAGTGGTTCTAATTTCAGGACTTTAATTGTACACAGTTAGTTGAGTTGTGGTGTAGGATTGTCTTCCATACAGAAGTCACTCAAACTTTATATTGTATACTCTGTGAAACTCTCAGTAAAAAAATAAATAATTATTCTCGTGTTTTTATGTCTTAGAAATTGGGAAGTAAATACAAACATTACAAAAAAGTCAATTCATTCTTATTTTTAAGGTTAGGGTTACGGTTAAGCAAATGACTTGCTTACCCCATTATCAGACTGTCGATTGTCACGAAACCACATTTTCTTGATGACACAATATTAAAATATTTGTAGAAGTAGATGATTGTTTTGTCTGTGTAGCCACCTGTCTGAGATTACATAAAACCACTGTTAAGGCAACAGTGACAATCACACAGGCGACAGGATGAAGTGTTTACCATTACACTCTAAGACTAGGTCATTTTAGAATAACATTAGATTATCTGCGCTGCCTCCCAGTTTGGTTCACGCTAAGGCCTATCCAAGCCATAAACTAAAAGGAAAAGCCTTGAGATTTTCACGGCAGGAAACAAATTGAATTGGGGAAATGGAGGGAAAGGCACCTGCTGCTGCACATTAAAGCAGTAACACAAACACTCACTTGAATGGAGGGATGTGTCAGAGTGGTTTCATTGTGGTGCTCAAGTACAAATCTCTCGGGTTCCTTGGCTTGCTGTAGCCATGCTTGCTCCAAGAGGTTACTAATTGAACCCAATAGGAGTTATACGTATCTCTTATCTACTGCTGGAGGCGTTATGGAAATAAGCGTGTTAAAGCACAGAATGGCCCAAGGTGACAGGTGAGTGACATATCCTCAGCCGTCCATTGTTCTGCCTGAATATCTGTTCAGTATCTCTTCAAACAAATATCAATAGGATAGAGTGTCATCTTTTCATTGGGTAACAATCCATAAGAGGTTATTCTTTAAATAATTGTTGTTTACTTGTTTGTGTTAGACAACGGCTAAAGTCAGCTTGGCTTGAATGCCATTACAATGGATTCCAATGGTGACTAACAGCCATGGCCACAAAAAGAAAAAGCACCATCCTCTATAGACACATTTTCAAACACTTATCTACCTTTCCATTTGACAGTTACATCCTATATCTTCACACAATTATAGATACCCAAACAGACGTTAGCTGTAGGCACTGGTTTAAGATATTGTAGTTTTGCAACACAACTGTTGTCTATCTGGATGTTCAATACGTTTAAAATACAATTGTACCAAAAACAGTTGAAGATATGGCTAGATAGACAGCCTCCATTTGTTGCTACAGCGGTTAGCCTTTTATCTTGTTTGCATATAAATAGGTAGCATTTTCCTAACATTGTTTTGGCAGCTGAGTAATGAATTGGGAATGGTTTGAAAATAATTGTATTTGCACATTGTAATCCATTTTACTTGCCTCAAAAAAGAATAAGGTAACAACATTTTTAGAGCAACCTTTTAAGCCAAAAGAGGATAAATGGTACACACACGAGAAGGACTATTCAGGCTACAAGTTAATGTTTATATGTGTAAAGTATATAGTATATGATTGTGTCTGACTAAATCAAAATACTCTGATGCACTTTAGTCAAACTCATTCTTTGTTTACAGTATACATCTCAAAGCAGCAGAGTCTTTTTCAATTGCCACGGGATACTAATTATTCAATTAATCAAAAGCCCCTAAGCATTTAAGTAAGGGAATTAAGGGCTTTGTAACTGTATTTCCCTATAAGCACTGATTGCTTTGTGGTTTGAGGATGCTATTGCTCTCCTTTTCCTGCTCCAGTGTGCCAATTTCAAACTGTAACTGAAGTCACTGAGAGGTGACTGAATGCCAGTAGTTTTTACAGAGTGAAAAACTCTTTATTTTTCAGCGACCTCAGTAAAGATCAGGCAACTAAACATTAGTTCCCTCGTAACCCTGAGGGAGTAATGGAAAGAGCCAATGCAGCATTTGTTTTAGCTGCCTTTTCATTGTCCTTGAACTTTGGAGTACAGTACTGCAGAGGGTGTTCATGACTCGGGACTTACCGTTAGGCATCCCATCAGGCTTTGCTCGAAGGGGCGCTGGAAGGCTCGGGGGTCACCACACCAGTCCAGCAACTCTGTCGCTGCTGTGTGGAAATTTGCTGGATTTTGTAAGTGCTGGAGAGGAAACAAGGGAGAGGTGGTAATATGTTAGTCAAAGTCAAACAATGTGCAAAGGTCACTAAGAAACAGAATACAGATCATTTATATTTTGTATGTATTCATAACTTGGTGAAACATATGATAAGTAAAGCAAGGCATGAGAAGGCACTGAATACAAGTTTACATATTGGTCCTGGCCTGCCTAATTGAAAGTTGTGACATGGCGATTTATTCATATTAAAACACATAATCAGGCATAAAGTACTCATTTTAATTATTAAAAGGATTGCTCATCTCCAATCCATCAATTTATTTTAATAATGAATAGTTTTTAAATATGGAATAACTGACTGAGTATGCTAGATAAGAGTCGAAAAGTACATGGATACATTTTTTATCAATAATTAAAAACACAGGACACCACATTTTCAAAAATTGATTTTATTAAACTTTAGCGTACTTTTGTTTCAGATTTAAAGTATTGGCGCATGGCTGAAGGAGCATGTCCCCATTAGACTCATGCCTCCACTTTCCTCTCCCCAGGTTTCTGTAGCAACGCCTCGACACGGGTGCAATAAATATCCCTGTATGGCTGCATGAATAGCCGAGGAAGCCCTTATTTCTCCAGCCGGCCCTGAGCTGTGCTGTGACTTTATCTAACAACAGGCTCCTTGACCTACAGGTAACCCTTTATGGCTTTCATTCCCCAACTGGAGCCAGCAGCCCACTCACTAACCCTGTTGTGTGTCTTGCAGTGAAGCAGCAAAATAAACTGAAAAATTGACCTGGACTCACTGTTAGTACATTTTCCTCTAAAAGCTTTCAAATCTCAATATAAATCACTTTATAAATAGGAGACACACCACCTCCACTCTTCAGTAATCTTTAAGCTTTGGATATAATATGCATAATATGCACAAGCCTTTTTAGTGCACTTGTTCAAACCAGGAACAAATGGACTCCCACTCCATGGCATCAAAGGTAAACAGAGAGGTTTGTCAGCTTAAAGTGAATGGATGCAATTGTTAACATGCTTAAGCTATCACTGTCTGGGAGAATAGAAGAAGAGGAAGTGACTATCAATGCCTTTTTCGTGTCTGCTCCTTAGGGGGCAGCAGAGGTCAGGATTTGATAGGCCTGATTTCATATTCATTCTACAAGCCAGCGTTGGACAAGGATGAAACAATATTTGTTTATTTTATGTTCTGTCAGAGACTGTTCCTTGCTTGCCTTTCATGTCTTTGTTTTTGTGAACTGAGGATAAGAAGTGGAGGAGTTACTGAGCATGTAAATTCTACTAGTGGATTAAGTCTCCTGGAGAAACACACACATCCACAGATGCTACATTTAGATGGGAATGGAAGCTAGACAACACACGCAATCAGAGCACCAAGCATGGAAAGGGGGTGGAGGGAGAGTATGTAGAGGGGAGGGGGGGGGGGGCACGGCACCAACACTTGGGCTTGAAGTGATTACTGTTCTTTGCACTCAGAACAATTGGTCCCACCAGTGTGGCTGTCACATGGAGAGCTTGGCACTGCCACGCCACAGATGTTCCCCTTACTCCGGCCAAAACCCACCAATCAAACCTAAACTAGTGGCCAAGAGACCCCTCACTCCCCCCCTTGTCCTCATCCCCCTGGGTGAGTACGAACCTACAACATTTACACTCCAGCAAAGGCTCGTCTCAGTTCGAGGGGAAACAAAAGACTCGCAGCGTCCTGAGAATACAGCTTTCTTCAGATACAATCATCCTCTGTAGTCACGTCTGGAAACGACTTGATCTGCACATCTGCAGCTAAACTGAATGTGACAGCGCACGTGAACTGGCAAAGACTCCCCTTTCCCTTTTCAAAATCACAGCTTTTGGTTACGCCGCTGTTGTTATTCAGCGCCGCCCCAGAGCACTGAACACATATTAATGGAGACAATTATCCCTGAAAGGAAAGCCGTCGCAGACAAAAACAGCTGCATAGCCAGTGCAGCAGCAGCAGCGGCAGCGGCGGCAGCGGCAGCAGCAGCAGCAGCAGCAGCAGCAGCAGCAGCAGCAGCAGCAGCAGTGCAGCAGCAGCAGCAGCAGCAAAGAGAGGGCTGTCTTCCAGTTTATCTTGAAATATTGACGCTTACAGTTTGAGGAAGTGCTCCTGCAGCGAGAGGAGAGTTCATAGTTTCTGCCAAAGCCCTGTACGAACCACTGAGTGGAGAGTCTGACAGGAAACTGGCTTCCCCACAGCGAGAGGAAATGTACTGTCTCTGAAATAGATACCAGCAGTATCACCGAGCCCATCTTCCCCAAAGTGTTCACAACGGAGCAATTCTGGGACGCTGGAGAAAAACAAACTGCCATTGAGAAACTGTGTGTTTGCAGACGAAATCAGATAACTGTTATTGTGTATCTTTTTCTAAATCCTAGTCTTTTTGGAGGTTGAACAAGCGAACATATTTATTTAGCTGTTAAAGGTTGTATGTTCCTTTGAGGTATTTAGCACCACCTTATGCATCATGACGTAGAACACTATCTGTATTGTTTACCTTTTACATATTTCAACTACTACTATTTCTGTATGGATTAATCTGTTGATTCCTTCTTTAATAAAAATAATTTGCTTTGCTTAACCACCAATTAACCACAATTGTTAAGTTAGTAGTAAGCGGTAATCTATTTCCTAACATTAATGTCAAAAAAGTAAACAAGACATCAGATGTAAAGTCCTTTTAGGTATCTGAATTAGTGTACTGGGGTGATAAACCACCATGTTTCCATAGTTTATGATCAGTTAAGGTTATGTTATTGTTTATAAATCATATTATTGCAATTTCACAACAGGACGGCAATTTAAAAATTACCACTGTAATGATTTCTGATTCAACTTTCAACCTGGGATTCAATCATGCTGACAGACTCCAATTTCCTCTACTTTATCATCACGCTCGGCAGTAATTTATCATTCGAGCAACACAATCAATTTGTTCCCCTGTCCGCTGCACTGGCTGGGAGTATTCAGACAGACATGTCACATCTTCCAGAAAACAACAACACAATGGAGCAGGCTTCATTTATATTCCTGCTCTACGTCCGCATTGCCTACGAGATGCCACATTTTCAGCATGTGCACACTTTCAATTAAAGCAAACAGCTGGATTGGTTTACAATATTTCCTTAATTATTTTAATGGCTTGGATATTGGACAATGGGGAGCAGGGGGAGAAGATAGTGAGTTAATTGTTCTGATCTCCCCTGATGATCATCTTTGTGTGCGGGGAGGAGAATAGACGGCCGGCTGAATGGGCTCACTGCTAGTCTAATTGGCAGGACATAAATGGTATTTATTATGCAGGCCTTCCAAACCCTGATTGTCTGTGCACAAAGCTGCCTCTATTAGCAGGGTGCTGGCTCTTACTGGTTGGTTTGAAATGACCCGGCGCTTAACCATTTATTAGATGGACTGGAGGCCTCCTTGTATGCCATGGATCTCTCTAATTGGCATGTTTACCCATGTGCTGGTTCCCCGGCCGCTAACATTGGGACGTGTTTGTTTAAATTTTTGCCTTGCGGGGGTTAATACATTTAACCCCGGCAACATTTGAATTGTTAACATGTTTTGTTATGTTAGACAGATGCAAGTCTCTTTCCCTGTTCTGTGAAATTACTTTACAGAATAATTCATTAGCTATTAGGAATACAGGACATTCATCCAATTTCACCTCCCATACAAGTAAAGGAGGAGGGGATATTGAATATTTAATACCCTGCTGTGAAGAAGGTATCCAGCATGCAGACAGAGAGTGTGTGCCTCTGTCTACCTTATTACTTAAGGATATCAAAGCTTGGCTCTACACATAGGGGCTTCCCTCTGTTTGCTCCCTCAACACTCGCCCTGTCTTGCTATCTGCCTCACCCTGTCTCTCTCTCCGTAATAGCAGGGAACTCCCCGCAGAGGGTAAAACAATTTGCCACGTCCACACTTGTGTTTAAGGTTGAGCCCCATACATAGTCCCAAAGGCATTTCTGATGTACTTTTCAGGAGGTGGACCTCAGCACAGAGTCCTGAAACAAAACGGGCCGTCAGTTAAGAAAAGAGATCAAAGAGAGAGCCCTGTAGCCCGGGGTTACTCAAGTATGTCGGTTTCATTCTGCCAGAGATTCGTCCCGCAGTAAACGGTGGGGAGAGGAGAACAAAAGCACTCGCTGGGAGTCAACGGTGGTGGAGGGTGATGATGGGGGAGGGAGGGGAGCCTCTGCTCTTTGACCCCGGTCAGTAACCCGAGTCACACCACAGTCCTGATAGTGAGACTGAACAGATTAGTCACTTAGCTGTGGCCCAACATGGAGACTAGGGTGCCTTATGGCTGTCGCTGTAAGCGTGTGTACAAGCATACACTTAGAAAAGGAAATCAGAGAGTTAGAACCTTTCTACCAGCCAAACAAATAGAGGAACAAAGAAATATGGAAATGACTCTCTGCATAAAAGGTTCAAATGGGGTAAATGTATCTTTACAAAATCCATTTGTGTAGGCAACTTAGAAAAAAATACGGTAATTAGGCCTACACGTAATTCTTTTGCCACCATGCCTTCTTCCTCAACTAAACGTTACACTGACAAAAGCCCCATTTTTTTTGCACTGTTTACCACTGTGCAAAAATAACGTGTTATATATATAACACGTTATTTTTGCACAGTGGTAAACAGTGTACAGTATATATATATATATAAATATATTGGGAGGGATGAAATCCTCTTTAATGGTCACACATGCAGAGCACACAGTGAAATTTGTTCTCTGCTTTTAACCAATCCTAGTACCAGGAGTCTAGTACTAGGAGCAGTGGGCAGCTATTGTACAGCGCCCGGGGAGCAATGAGAGTGGGGGGGGGAAGGGGGATGTCCGGCGCCTTGCTCAAGGGCACCACGGCAGGGCAGGAGGTGAACTGGGACCTCTCCAAGTAGCAGTCCACCCTCCATTTTTAGGTCTGGTCGGGGACTTGAACCGGCGACCCTACGGCTCACAGTCCAATCCCCTACTGACTGAGCCACTGCTCGGTGTTGCAATTGAATTTAAAGTTTCATTATGTTTAGATTAGTTTATTAGCCTGTAATCTTCTTACAGGCTAATAAACTAATCTCTAGTCTCATGTTGCTTTATACTTCTTCGTACACTTATATGTCATTGTCACTGTAAAGGTAACACTTTGGATAAGAGTTTTCCTGCTCTGAGACCCTAAGGAAAATAACCTTTTCTTCAACAGTCTCAGACGATTTTATTTAACAATTTGTCTTAAAATAGACTTCTAGCAAGTCTTGAAACTTTCAGTCTTTTTCCCATGGTACAAAGAATTAGATTTTGACCAACCATACTTGACATTAATTTGGCCATGATTCAGATATCTTAATTGGAATTCCATAGTTGTGCTGATATTTACATGTGTGCTTGTAGATTTCTCTAAATAATTACTGATTGACTGTACGCGTTGTGTTTTATGTAAATTATTATTTTCGGTTGATGGTTCTTTGTGTACCTGCCAAGGGACTGCATATAGAATGAGCCTATAACTAAATCTGAAATCAATTATATTTTTTCCTTAATTAACATTATTATGCATAAAACGTTTACCAAAATGAAAATGCTAAAAACTACCTCATTTTACTTAACAATATTAGTGTAAATGTACCTTGTTACTTTCCAGCTGTCAGACAGGTGACAGGTAGCATACATGAACCTTCTGTGGCTTATGCTCACACAGTGTAAAACAGACAGTCCCAACACTCTCACCTGTTTGATGCACAGCAGACGGTCATTTGTCTGCTGTATGTGTCTGTCCATAGACGGAATGGAGTTCATGTTGATTGTCCCTCTTCGGCCTCTACCTGCCAGCCATTAAACTGAAGCGTTCTGCAACAGAAACAGAGACACGTGTTAAAGCTTGCCTCTTCGCATCACCACCAGGATATTGCAGTTTAGCGTGTACATATGTGTGTGTGTGTGTGGCTGTGAACTGAGCAGGGAGATATTGATTTGGCAGGTGACAAGCACCTCAGAGGGACCAAAGGATGACATTCCTCTCAGCTCCTGTGACACCCTTAACAAGCCCTGGCAGTTGCCCCCGAACACTGCCACACACCTTTGGAGAGGACACACTGGATGGCTTAGAGAGGATGTCTGAGGAACACACACACATTTTGAAACGTCTGCCTGAGAAAGCTGCATGAAACCCTTCCAGCCTGGCCTGTGAGAACATTAACTTGGCATGTGGTTCTCTGTTTACATTTCTTAGCCATTATGTAATCTTTGGTTAACAATTATCTGTACGCTGGGCCCAGACATGCTCTACATTTCATTTCTCTCTCCCCCCCCCCCACCGCTCTCCAGCCAGCTACATGAGAGTTCCTCTAACAAAACCCCTTACAGCGCACTATTGATTTTGGAGCAGCGGCTTATGGACAACCTCTTTCTCCCTCTCTTTTTTTTTTTCCAGAGGAATAATTTGTCACTGAATGCAAACAATGGGGCAGTGATCTGACATACTACACAACATTATCACAAGTTAAGAAAGTATTACAAGCTACATTAAAGGTTATCAATTTCGCCGCGGGGGTCTGATTTAATGTTGCATTCAACATCAAATAAATATCTACACTCAGGGTGTCGGCCCATAACTCATGGTGACCTGCAGCTTCAAATGGAGGAATTAACAAGCGCATATATGGATGGCGGGGTGGGGGAGCTTATCCATCTTTACCTCCATCTTCACCTCCATCTTCTCCTCCCCTCACTCCTCCTTTATCTCATCCTGTCTCGGCCTTCTTGCTAGTGCAGGGACATTTCCTCCTGCGGCGCATCATCTCTCACTCAAACACTCGCCCCTATCACTCAAACCCCTCCCACCCTCACGCCATCTTTCTCCATTACCATCACATGGTGAGAAATGTCTCTGCACAAAGTACCGGTGAGATGAGGGGGAGAGAGCAAAGCAGAGAGAGAAAGAGAGAGGCTGCACCATACTGATAATGCTCACTTAGAGGTCTCTAGCTGGATTTAACGGTAGGGCCAGTAATCTACTCCACTAGACAGCTAAAGAGCTTTTATGCTACCTATTGGAGCTGCTCATGCCTGTACTTGAGAGGAGAGAAGGGCACACTAGTGCATTCCTCTCCATAAATTAGAACGCTTATGAAAAAAGACACCAGAGGAATTTTTCACTCTGAGTCTCTTCGTAGATGTTAACGTGTTGACATTTTTTAAGCCTCATACTAGACAATGTTTAGACGTGAGGGGCTGGAGTTACCTTGTGACTTGGCAGGATTTTTGGGGGGGTAAATACAGATATAAGAAATCAACAAATACATGATTTATAGAGACTATATGGGTTAAGAGAAAACAAGCACTACAAGCATATAATAGAAGTGCTTTCCTTTTTTTTCAATGAAGACATCCTCAATGTCAAACATGACAACAAGCACCACCCTAAGCGTTGCACTGACTTTCATTACATCCCTTTGGTGTTTGCTGCTATAACACCCCCCACCTCCCCCCCCCAGTCCCCCGTCATTGCAGGCTGATAGTGAGCTGATCCTCAGCGAGGGGTGGCTAAGGATCATCGTGCCCCTCAGCCACCAGCAGGTGTCTCCCTGGCCCTTCAAAGCCTGGCTAGTGGCACAAAGAAGGCGGAGCGGTGTTGCTTTAAGCCTTTACAAGCTCTACAAATCCTCAGCTGCTGCTTCCTAACAGGGCCCACTCAGCCCGGCACTGCCTGTCTGACCTTGTGGTTATTGATGAGCGAGTCGACCTGCTCTCTCCGTTTCTCTCCCCTCCTGCCCTTCCCTTCACTCTCTCTTTTTTTCTCTCTGTGTCATCCCTCTTACCTCCAACAGTGAGTTAAAATGAGGGGAAAGAAAGAGGTTGGGCTGCCATTCACCACCCCGGCTTTTTTTCTGTTAAACACACATTGCGATGATACTTCTGACCTCCCCGCTCTGTTAAGCCTGGCTCCACATATTTGCATTTATTTTCTTTCCGAGATAAAAAGTACAAGATAAATTCAGTAATTTAATTTTCAGATATTCACTTAATCAAACCCTATTCTTTTCTTGCATCCTTAATGACTAACAAGAGCCAGATTAAAGATTAAACTGGTGGAGATATGACAACAGATGCAATTATGAGATCCCCCCCTCCCATTTACTGTACGGGCTTTAGATGATCTCACAGATGCTATCATTTATTCTTTTCTCTGCGCCTTTACCTAATGTGAACTTATTTGCAGAGATTCACTCCACAGATCCTGAATGTGTGAAGGGAAACCGCTGATACAAGCATTACTTGATGTTAATTTACTAAATTGCACGGAAGGCGTAACACAACAAGTTGAGAGCTGCGGATTCCTGCACAACAAAAGACACATGAGGGGGGGTGGGATGGGAAGTGGGAGGGGAGGAGGGAGAGCCGCTTTCCTACCCTATTCAAGGGGGAGCTCAAATATATGTATTGAGTGGGAGCTGTAATAAAACGAAATGGGTGAGGAGATGCAGGCTGGGAACAAATATGAAAGGCAGTGGAGGATGGCGGCAAGGTGATGGAGCACCACCGGAGGATTGGATGAAATTATCTCTTTATAATCAGGGGGCTTCTGCATGGCTGCCTCCTCCATTGCCCAGTGACAGATGAGGCATAGCTCTTCAAATGGGCTTTTCACAGCCCACCTCTAGGGTAAAACAATGTTTTTCTTCCCTCAGTACCACCACTTCAAAAGCTTTGTTTCCACATGGCACCCCGCAGAGGACAGGATTGTCTCCTGTCACGCACGGTCCATGTCTGTCTCATTACATGTTCATGTTACATAAGTGTACCTTGAAAAAGGGTTGCAGATTTAATTTGATGACAAAACTGTGCAACAGCGGGATCTGGAGGAGGCTGAGTTAAGTTGAATACAGACACTAAGGCAGAACATTATTTCCCTGTAAGTAAGAGGGATTGCTTTTTGAACTGTCACAATCTAAACATTTTAGACACCCAAAACCCAACCATGCATCTTCAAAGAGAAATTCTAGTCTGTTAATGTAACGTAGACGAGTTGTGTGCCTCTGCTCTGCAGGATGAAAACAGTCTGAGGGGGGAGAAGAGTAGACAATGATTAGCTTTATCCCACCATCACAGCAGAACAAATGGATCACGAACCCTCGCCGCTTTACACAGACTCTCAGCTGAGCTGTCAAGGCGCAGGGAAGTAGTAAACAGATTTAATTTATTCATATAAATGGCTTGTGAACCAAAACAGTCAGGCTACTTTAGGGACAGACACAGTGCTGTTAGAAGGACATTTGCCGTTTATTACAACATGGAACTTATTTAAGTTCTTTCGGCCATTGGTTATGATAATATTGTGATCAGCAAAACATTTTCTAAGATCTGAGTATGTGGTCCAACAGGACAAGAAATTAGACAGATTTGAAACTGTGTTGTTTCAACTGTGACATCACAAGTGGGTAAATTGCATGTTTTTCCCAGGATTAGGAAGACAAAAACCCCTCTTACCCGTTACAGAGACACACACTTCTATCGTCAAACTGGACTGAACTCCAAATATCGAGGTAAAGTAACAGAAAAGAAAATACTTTTTTGAAAGGTAGGTTCATTTTTTAAACAAACAACTGCTTGAAGGCAGATGCAGGTGCAGTGTTTGAATAAAGACACATTTCCCGCCTAAAAAGAGACTTCTGAAGTATCAAACACACAGAGAGCTGGAGTGGGGCTGTAGGAAGTACAAAGACAGCAAGCCACACTGGCCACCATACTGAGAACACACACACACATGTACACACACACAAATCTTCTCACCTTCCCTTGAGTGCTGGACTGGCATCATGATACCATAACAACACCCTCAGTCACTCTTAATGTGCTTTACAACAACACTACATGCCGGGTGTTACACCTCTGCATAGCTGTGTGAAACACACACACACACACACACACACACACACACACACACACACACAACACACACACACACACACACACACACACACACACACACACACACACACACACACACACACACACACACACACACACACACACACACACACACACCACACACACACACACACACACACACACACACACACACACACACACACACACACACACACACACACACACACACACACACACACACCTTGCTAATCGAAAGCTCAAAGTACTGCTGACACTATTAAAATGGTACAAGGTGGCCTAAGCGCAGAAATCAGCATCACTCCGGCACCTCGCGGGGACACGTTGAGACATGCTGCTCAAGGTGATTGCGTCCCCCTGTGTCTTCTATTGTAGGTGAATTAGGCAATAAAGGGCTAATCTGCGCCACCATTGACTAGGGCTTGGCTGTTTGCAGCACTTGCTTAAGGGCGATAAAGATGAGGGAGGAGGAGGAGGAGGAGGAAGCATCTCTTCACCCTTGTGATTTTAATGAGCTTTGATTCCCAGATATGCCTTATTTACTTGCGACTGTCGGCCGAGGCCCATGTGAAAGCTCCCCTTTAATTATCTCAACGTTGTGGGGACGCCGTTTTCTTGCTCTGAGGGAGGGGGTGTTTAGTTTTGAGAGGGCAGCTCCAGGACTCCAGGTGTCCGCCTGGTTCTCTGCCTGGTAAGTGGCCAGGCAGGCAGCGGGACAAAGCTGTGTTTGTTCGACGGAGGAAAAAGCAGAGAGGAAGGAAATGTGTACGAATCGGCGCTGCTTCCATTGTTGCTCTCCAGAATGTGCCATAATCCTCGGCAGGCTCCATCCAGAGCTGGCACGGAGGATAATATGAGCTGCCTCCTGCCTGTCCCACCTCCCTGCTCTACCTCCCCTCCCCTCAGCCCTTCTCCATCACCTCCGCCACCCTTCCCCCCCA